TCTGAGTCTCCTCTTTTCCAGGCTGAAGAGACCCAGTTCCCTCAGTCTCAACTCATACGGCATACCCTGCAAACTGGCCACCAACCTTGTGGCCCTACGCTGCACTGACTCTAACCTGACTATATCCTTTCTGTAATGAGGGGCCCAAAACTGAGCACAATACTCCAGTTGCGGGCACACCAGAGTCATATAGAGTGGTAGCAATACCTCTCTTGATCTAGAAGCCACACTTCTGGCTATGCAACCAAGGGCGGCGTTCGCCCTCTTGACCACCGCATCACACTGCTGGCTCATGTTTAGCCTGCAGTGAACCAGCACCCCAAGTTCCCTTTCACAAGTGCTGCTCTCCAGCCACCTGTAACCTAACCTGTACTTATGATGCCTATTCCTATGGCCCAAGTGCAAGACCTTGCACTTATCCACATTGAACGCCATCCTGTTGTCTCCTGCCCACTTCCATAGTCTGTCCAGATCCTTTTGGATCTGGAGTACCTGCTCCTCAGTTGTGGCCACTGCTCCAGCTTTAGTATCATCTGTGAATTTGATCAGCAGACTGTTCACCCCTTCTTCCATGTCATTGATGAAAAGATTGAACAGGATCGGCCCCAGGACAGAGCCCTGGGGGACCCAGCTTGTCACTGGCCGCCATCCCGATGATTCCCCATTAATGGTTACCCTCTGCTTTTGGTCAGTCAATGCCCTAATCCACCAGACAGTGCTTTGGTGTATCCCAAAACTCCTCAGTTTCTTTATGGGGCACTTTGTCAAAGGCCTTGCTGAAATCCAGGTATACCACATCCACTGCATCCCCTCCATCTAGCCATCTCGAAACCTTGTCATAGAATTCCACAAGGTTTGTCTGGCAGGACCTCTTTTCGCGGAAGCCGTGTTATGTGGCTGTCAGCCTCTCTTCCCTATCTAGCATCACTAGATCTCTCTCTATTATGAGCCTTTCCATCGTTTTTCCTACAATGAACGTAAGGCTAACAGGTCTGTAATTCCCCATGTCCCTTCTACTACCCTTTTTGAAAACTGGGACCACTGATGCCACCCTCCAGTCCTCTGGAACTTCACCCGTTCTCCACGAGGCCTCAAAAATGGAGGCCAGCGGGCGTGAGAGAACCCCTGCCAACTCTCTAAGTACTCTCGGGTGTAACCCGTCAGGGCCTGGTGCCTTTGTAATGTCCAATGCCCTGAGGAGCCCCTCGACTTCAAGGGGGGTGACTCTAATCTGTGCCCCCAAGTCCCCAGCCTCATCTAATCTCCTGTGTGGATCTCCCCCGTCCTGCTTTGGGGAGAACACAGAGGCAAAATAGTCATTTAGCATCTGTGCCTGTTCCCTTGCATCAGTCACTGGATCTCCTTCCTCCTTATTCAGCTCCTAACAGAAGGACTCTTATTTTGGGCTGGAGCTTGCCAGGCATGCAGCCCAGCAACACCACCACCCTGCCACACAATCCCCACCTTTCCTTCCCAGAAAAGCCAGGCAGCTGAGCAATCATTGGAGCTTTTTAGAGCGAAGAGTCCCCACTTCCCTCTTTGTCACATGTGCGTGCGAGCAGCTGGCTACGTCCCCCTCATTGTGCACCTGCCTCAGGGCCAGCCATGCCCTTGGGTAAGGTGGCCAATGCTGTGCTGCTGGGGGCAGGGGAGGGGGATGCATCAAGAACAAAGAAGACGCTGCTTTGCATGTTAAAAAGCACCTGCTAATGGATAGATCCAAGTCAGAAATAATAATTATTCTTCATATAGAAAGCTACTCCATCTCACACTGCTATAGAACATGCGACTTCTCGGCAGCCTGAAGAAGCCATCCAAAGATTTGTCTTTGGATGATTGTCATCCTTAAACTCGGATTGGACTGGACAGCCCTCAGACAGAGAATGCTTTCAAAACAGAGGACAGTCCTCAGGCAGCCTTTCAAACAGCGGACTGCCCAATGTAAAGAAAAGACCTGTGGCCACCCTGCCACTGAGTATTGCGAGGCAGTTGCTTTTGCAACTGATTTTGGAGGCCAACAATGCTCCCATCTGTTTCTGACCCAGTTCTTGGAAGTCCTGCTGACAGAGGGGTACCACTCCTCTTCCTGGGCAGTGCTTGCAGTGTGCCCACATCAAACACATGCTGGGAAGTGTAAAGATAGAATTACCAGTGTGGATCTATGGCAAAGCACCTTCATGTGCTCCTAGCACATGGCAAGTGTACGTCTGCACAGGGCTCCAGTCAGATTGGAACCGAAGACCGGTATTACTGCTCTGGGATGGTCCAGAAGACAAGACAACTCCCAAGGCAAGAAAAAGGGCATGCTCACCCCCAAAACCCTTCATCTCTCTCTCACTGAGCACCAGGGAGCTTGGGTTCAGGACTGGCTCCCTGCCCTGGCTCTGTGAATGGACTTGTGGATGCATGAACAAAGTGGACCAAGGAAAGGGGAAAGGTCAGGCTTCCTGGCACGCATACCTCGGACCTAATTCCCTCACAACTAGAGATGCTGAGTAGTAGGACTGGGACAAAACTCAGTAGGATCTGTCCCTTGGGGATTCACGGGATTTCTCTCATGCTCAGCCAGGTCTCAGAAAGTGAGCTGAGCTGGAAGGAAGCCTCGCGGAATGCAGGTTGCAGTAAGAACAGGCTGCTTTCACGCCCGCTGCAGCAGCCTGAACAAAGGCATGGAGGGGTGCCACTGCCAGGCACACTCACCGGGAACCACAACAAAGCGGATCATTGTTTGGGGATCTGACCCTGGGGAATCGGGTGGATTCCGACCCCCTCACAGATCCCAACGACATACTGCTACAGGCTGAACCAGGCCAGCACTCGGCTTCCTCCATTTAATTTTTCCTCACAACTTGCAACCTGAAATGCAATAGCTGCCAGCATCCCATAGATCCTGGAACCTCACAGGGCCTTCCAGTGTTGTGTTGTGTTGGGTTGGGTTAGGCTATTTTGGCTTATATGAAACTTGAGGTCCCCTAGCTATGTTAAAACTAGAGATGTGTGAATCTGCACAGCTCTAGCTCACCAAAGCTCGCTGAATTCCACCTTGTTCCAGCTCAATTCTGGATCACATTGTGAGCTTTACTTTCTTCTTTCTACATGAAAATCAGTCCATATGTTCATTCATATGTATCTAACTGGAATAACCACGTGCATCTTCGAAATATATGCATTCTCCACTTGTTCATTAGAACACACTTGTGAACACTTTCCAGAAGTGTGTTTTTTTATGCATCTTTTCCAAACAGACTACACAATTGTGATCCACAAATCACACTGTGTGCAGAGGAATATCCATACTTGTGTCCAAGACCTTGTTCTGCTGGGACTATGTAAACCGGATACATCCTGACGAAAAAATGACCTGATAGGAGTTTCTTACACTTCCATAGCAGAGGCCAATGCCCTATTTCACTTCCAAACTCATAGGCACAACTTTGGTTTATAGGGAACATTAAAATAAATTATAGAATTTCAGAAGCTTAAAGAAGACATCAGTTTCTTCTGGATTTTGATGATCTTTGACAGATGTGCATTTGAAGAAAACCTGCATAGCCTCTGGCACTGAAATGAGAACTTCTATTTTAAGCTCTGACAAGAGGGATGGGGGAATACAATGGATGGACAGCAAAAAGACGAACTAAGACAGTAAAAAGTGTAGATCAGAAGTTGGTCACACTCTTGCTGTTCCCAGGGAAGACCCAATGGAAACTTGATCCCCCTCCAGTCAATGCTGAAGAGTATTTTGGCCCAAATGAAGCTCAAGGATAGAAGCTTCTGAAGTAAAATCGGAGGCTTCTAAACTAGAGCATAGGCAGAAATAAACATACGAATGAGGGAAAGAGTTAATGTATGGCTAGCTTGAGAAGATGGTCTTTGTTAACAAGGAAAGGGTTTTATATGGTATGGGGAATGTTGTGCTGCTGCAGCAGAAAGGAGCAGGGATTGCAAGATGGTTGTGAGGCAGGCAGATGCTTAAGGAGTCTGCTCCACAGTACAGTGGAAAGAAGAGACCTGGAAGGAATGTTTGCCCAAGGTTCACCAAGGTCCAATTTGCAGCTGTTGGGAAAATCCAAGTAAATCATTACAGAGAAAGGTTGCTTATGTGGACCTTTTTGATATAAAATCAGAACCACAGTGTCCCTGCTCCTCTCGCCCAGAAAGAACAGGAACCTTGACCAAGCTCTTCATCCCTGGGAAAAGGGGCAGCACTGGAGGCTCCATTATTCATGTGTTTCTTTCAGAGACTGAGGCTCTCCATCCACCCAAGGGGGCTGCAAGCGCTAATCCATTCTGGAATCTAGCTACCTCCCAGGCTGCTGAAAACCGCCCTGATTAGATTTTCTGTTCTGATGAAATCACCTCCTCCTGCCTGTCAAACCCCACAGCCAGGATCTGCTCCACAAAGTCACACGGCATGTTCAGACATTTATGGACTTCATCTGCAGGGTCTCAAAACAGACTGCACCCCCCTTCCCTGCTGTCTACTTTTTAGAAGCTATGAGGTCCAGAGTCCATTACCAGAGACAAATGGCAGAACTGACACTGTTAGGCAAGCAAACATCTAAGGAAACTCGAGGGCTTCCCTACTGTCTGTTCCTGAGGCACCAGTTCCAAGTGGGCCCACCCGATCCATAGCCATAGCTGGCTCTCCTTATTCATGAGAAGAACCTTGCTTCAGACAAGACCCTTCCTCTTGAGGAAACTGTGGGGAAAGTGCCTTCTGGCAGCCTGGTGGGTGCTCTCCTGACAGCTCTAAGTGTCCCACCTGGTCTCCCACTGCAGTGCAGAAGGAACAGAGTTAAAAAGCACATCTGGCCCAGAATGGACTTGAAAGGGTTCTTGGGGACGTCATTGCACAGATATGCCATAGGAGAGGGCCCCTTTGGGAAACCAGAGTCCCCCTTCTCCAAAGAAGTATCCTCTGCTTGGGACAGACAAAGAGTTCCTAACCATATAAAGCAGGTATGACCTGATGAAAAGATCAAAAATTGTGTGGAGAAAAGGAAGGGTGATCATGTGGAAGGGGAGGTTAAGGAAGGAGTAGATGGTGTGGAAAAGAAGGTAGTCAGATTCTACATAGAGGAGGATTAGTGGGGACAGAATTCTTCCTCCTGTTCTCTGTGATTCAGGCTCTACTGAGAAGGTTGTCCTCCATGAATTCTTCAGTGATTACAGATGTTTAAACTGTAAGGGACAACCATGAAAAGTAGTTTAATTTGCAGAGAGGGGCAAATCACATGCCATAGTCTCTAAATGATCAGCATGTTTTATCAAAACAGGAATGGATTAATGTGCTAATTTTGTTTTCTCTTCATTATCAACATTTCCTTAACTTCAGAATTCCTCCAGTCTTGAGTGTGGTTCAGATCAAACTTTGATTTTTTGCTTTTTCTCCAATTCACATGGAAATGAATAAGCATTTTTGTGATGAGCTATGCTTAAGAGAGTTTTTGCAAGCATTTTCCTGAAGTTTGTTGTTGTTTAGTTGCAAAGTTGTGCCTGACCCATCATGGCCCCATGGACAACATTCCTCCAGGCTCTCCTGTCCTTCACCAACCATTGGAGTCCACCCAAGCCCACACCCACTGCCCCAGTGACTCCATCCAGCCACCTCATTCTCTGCCGTCCTCTTCTTCTTTTGCCATCTATTGTTCCCAGCATTAGGCTCTTCTCCAGGGAGTCCTTCCTTCTCACTAGGTGGCCAAAATATTTGTGTTTCATCTTCAGTATCTGGCCTTCTAAAGAGCAGTCAGGGTTGATCTCCTCTAGGACTGACCAGTTTGATCACCTTGCGGTCCAAGGGACTCGCAGGAGTCTCCTCCAGCACCACAATTCAAAGGCCTTAATTCTTGGGCACTCAGCCTTCCTTATGGTCCAACTTTCACAGCCATACATTGTGACTGTATGAACTTTTGTTGGCAAGGTGATGGCTGCTTTTTAGCATGCTGTCCAGAGTTCCTAAAGTACTGCATTTTAAGGTTACTTTACCTCAATAGATACTCCCATGCCCTGTACAGAAGTTTGGCAGCAGGACTGGATGTTATTTGAGGATGGCATGTTGATGCAGGCTTGTTTAGCAGGCTCAGGGCAGGCCGCTGGCCTGTCTTCCACTGTCCGACAACTCTTTCCAGCGGCAGCACCCAGTACCTGAGGCAGCTGCCTGCTCTGCTAGTGTAGGGCTGGCCCTGGGAGAGACTGTGGCCGTGCGTTCCTCTCCTGCCTGAGCTCCTGCCTGGGCTCCTGCCCAGCCCTCTTGGGAACACAGTCCTGGACTAGATCAGCTTTTAGTCTGATCCAGCAGGGTTGCTCCTATGTTGTGGGGTTCCCAAGAATCAGGCTGCTCTGATCTTCTCCAAAGTTTCCGTCATCACTTGACATTTCCCCTTCCTTCCTGTTTCATAGGTGACTCCCTACAACCCTCAGCAGATCTTCCGTTCCCCGTACACCCCTGTGCTCAGCTACATCCCCCTGGTGCAGCCTGGCTACTCGTACCAGCAGAGGAACGCAGCCAAGCCATCCAGTAGCATACGGGATCCTCCAGCAATGGCAGGTGATGGGCCTCAGTATCCATTTTCTCCTTCCTACGGGTAAGTGTGCCTGGTTGGGTGACTGCTCCAGTGAGTGGAAGTCACTTTATTATTATTATTATTTTTTTTTTTTGATGGGTTCCTTTCTCCATCAATGGTGGGGGAAGAAGGTGGAGTGATGCATACAAGGCATGTCGTTTCATGGAGAGGCAGCTTATACTGGAGCAGGAGGGAGTGTCTTCTCTGAAAAGAATCTGGGGACAAGGACAGGGGCTTACAGTTAGTCTTTCCAACTGTGGCTGTCACCCTCTCTTCCCTCCCAGAGTGCCTCTGAAAAGAACACAAGGGAAGGAGAGGGGAGTTTGGAGGCAGCTGGAGAGCTCCTGTGCTTGCTGCACAGTTGGCAACTTGTGAAAGTTTCAGACATGAAGAAAAATGCTCCTCCCCAACTCAGTTGCAAGCCTCCTTCTCCTTGGAAAGTTGCACACCTAATCTCAGAAGCTAAGTGGGGTCAGGCCTGGTTAGTATTTGAATGGGTGTCTTGAGTCCTGCATGTAGCAGGAGGCTGGACCGATGGCCTTCTAGGCCCCTTCCGAGTGAATGATTCAACTTGACTTGATTCGATTCTATTAACTGAGGAACCCACATGGAATGGTTGGACTTTTCTGGATGAGAGGATGCGTGCCTGAAACAGAAGCAGGCAACATTCTTTCTGTCAAGGGCCACACCTGCTCATAGATAATCTGTCAGGGGCCTCATGCTAGTTGCAAGAACAGGTGAAGCCAACAGTGAGTAGGTTACCCCCCCACCCCCGCACGCTTTCTTTCTACTATTGCCCTTTCTTTCTTTTCTCCATTTTCCCCACCCAGTGAGATGTGGGGAAAAAGACAGCTCACCCTTGCAAGAGTTCTGAACAGAATGCATGAATGGCTGGACTGTTGAAATTAGATGGAGAGTTGCCCCTCCTCAGCCTAGAGGACTGTATTACTTTACTATTTGCTTAATTCTGAACCCCAGTATTTTTATTGCTAAAATTGTGGTGTAACTCTGTAATTCCATTGGTCTCTGTAAGCCATCCATTGTGTCTCCCATGTTCTTACTCAAACAAGACTTCTGCTTATTTCAGGACTCCATGGAAGGCTTGTTGGCATAAATTTGTTTTCCCACTATTGCAAACTTTGAGAGGGGAAGCTGTGCCCATGGCAGGGCTGGGGAACAATGTGCTTTGTTGTGTTCCCAATTGTCACCAGCTCCAGGTTGTTTTGCCAGGGGCTGGGGATGTTGGAAGCTATAGCCTGACAAAAACTTGGCTCCTCATTATTAAGCAATGGCATGTCTGCATTTGCTAGGGGACAAAGCTTTCTCCATTTTTAAAAAGTCACAACTTCCCCTAACAAAGATTTTTTTTCATGTCTCAAAATATTTCACTGTCCAAGACTTCTGCTCCTGAAGTATTTTTTTCATAAGCCATCCAAAAGTCCATTTTCTCTTGATACCCCTTTCCTTCCCATTCTGTCTGGGAGTCCTTTCTAGAACCTAATGCTTACCTGGGAATGTTGGAGAAATCTGCATGCAACTGAAATTTCTGTGGATCTGACTGATGGATTCATCAATGGACCGGCTTTTGATGAGCTGGGCAGATGCCATGAAATTGGGTCCTTATTCTTTTTAAACTTTCTGGAATGCACATCTTGCTGCATAGGCTAGAGTGTGAAAATGCATCTTTGGGGTGAAATATGCACCTCTCTGGAGGTGCAGAAATGCACAACTATTCACATGCATGCTTTCTGATATAAATGCATATTTGGGAAATTGAGAAAAATCTAATACTGTCGATGAGTGAAGAATGGAATGGGAGACAGGAATGGGAGAGTCCATGGGACTGACCAAATGGATTGAACAGAATCCATTAATTCCTTCTTCCTGCCCGGACAGTATGTGGTCCACTAACCCTAACCCTACACTGACAACAACTTTTTGGGGAATGGGGACTCAGTGGCACAAAAGCACTCCTCCTCCCTGGACCGCAACTGCCAGACCCACATTGCTAAAGACTCAGTAAGACTTGACTCACTATCTCGTTCTCTCTCAGGTTCACATCTACCACAGCTGGGGCTGTAAGGACCAACCCTTATTTTTCTTCTAATGGAGGTGGCAACAGTTTTTAAGACTCTTGGTACTTTTTGGCTACTGGTTTGGTAATGCAAACATTTTGGGGACAGTACAATATTCCTTTTGAACACTTTGCTCTGAAGTTAAGGAACTCCAGTCCCAGTAACGTGACAAAAGGGAACAGTGAGTTGGCAATTCATCCAAAAGCACAGAAATTGTTGTTCAAAACACTTGGGTACTTTTGGAAAACTTTTTTTTCCTTACAGGAGAGAGTGAGAGAGACTTAATATATATAAAAGTTTTATTTATGATGAATACCTGTGCTGCTTAAAATTGAATTTTGCTGTAATAAAGATGGTTGCTATGGAATGATCCCCGCTGGTGATTTGGGGGGGGGGGGGGGGGTTGATAAATCTTGTTAGGTGTTCAAAAGTGAGAGCAACCCACCAGTTGCTGACATGTCCATGTTAAGGGATGGGTCACCTCTTTGATACCAAGTGGGGCTGGGGTACAAATAGGGCTGGAGAAAAAAAATGCACTGGCAGGGGAGCAGGAGCTGTGGCAAAGCTTCCATATTTCTTTCCCCTTTGGGGGCCACAAATAGGTCTGGCAATGAAATGTGTTCACAGGCACAAGGTAGTGCTTCTGTATTTCATGATTTTTTCCATCAACATGGCACTCTGAATTCTGTCAGGAGGAGTCAAATGCACAGCAGATCAGGAATTGATGACTAGCAATGGGCAAATCTCTCCCACATTAATTTAAAAAAAATAATCTTAAGTCCTCATTTCTGGAATAGGAAACATTTTGGGTACACATGTCAAAAACATTCTGAAAAAAAATTCTCACCCCTTTGCACCAACCAAATTCAGTGGGTACAACTGTTCCCAGAATGAATAGGTCCACGGTGTACTTTCAGCCCTTTAGCAGTTAACCTTCATAGTGGGTCAATATGTAACCAGCATTAGTTGCAAAGGGGGGAATTTTTGCCCCCAGGCAGAAGGTCCTCAGTTAAGGCAAAGGCTGCATATGAAAAGGCCTTTGTTTGCCTGAAAGTATGAAACCCTATAAATTTGAATCGGTATAAGAAGAGATTTTAGGTCTCAGCTACTACAGATAATGTAAGACTTCATCTTTCTTGTGACAAGGCACAACTGTAAAACTGTTGACCTTACCTATGCATAACAATAGCTTGCCCTAAAGAATTTAAACCAACATAAAAATGCTTTCCCCCAGTGGATTTGACTTCTGTTGGCTGGAGGCTTTAGCTCAGATGCTTGGCTTTCAAAAGAGACTAAGATTATCTTCCTTTGTGCCTTTTGTTTAGGGCCTTTTGTGGAGTATAAAAATAGACTATTTTATGCAAATCTTGGGGCATTTTGTTACCCCTGGCATGTTTCAGCCTATGGGGTGTGGTGGGGGATACTGTAAAGGGAGTCTGAAATACAGGGACTCTTTTTACCACCCTGATTTGACAAGAGAGATCCCAGCCAGGATAATTGGCAGTGTAAAGTACAGAATGAATGAATGAATGAATGAATGAATGAATGAATGAATGAATGAATATCCTAGAAGAGCTGAACTATATGTCTACTTTAGTAAATCTAACTGAGCAGCAGAAGGCATAGTTGTGGAGGAAGACACTTATATCAGTGATGAAAAACCTGTAAACAAACAAACAAAACACACAAACTGGTGGCAGCCTCAACGTGGTGAAGACACTGGGATTTAAACACAGGCTCTCAGAGCCCTGGGCCTGAATGGGCACTTTCTTCTCCACAGCAGTCTGGAAAGGGATTTTCGCCCATCCCTGATGAAGGCCAGGCTGGAGATGAGCTTCCGTGTGGCCTTCCCGACATTGTTGGACTTCAGCTCCCAGCCCCCCAGCAAGCTTGGCTGATGGGCTGGGGTGAAGGAAGCTGTATTTAGAGAAATTTCTGAGACTCCGAACCACCCAGAGATCCCCATAAATGCATGGATTCTGCAGCAAAGTGGCTTTTCCTGAGCTGCACAGATTCTGTGGACTTGCAGAAATAGATATATTGGAGAGAGAGAGAGAGAGAGAGAGAGAGAAACCAAAACCAAAACTGAATTTCTACAAAAATTTGTCATAGAAAGTAAAATATTAAAAAACTGATTCAGTAAAGCAAGAAAATGCACAGTTGGGGGAATGCATGTCTTTCAAGGGAGTACAAATTTGCACTAGAGTCTATGAATGGATTTGCACAAAATCCAGTTCTGTCAAAGAGCAGATGATGGAGTGGAAAGTGCTTGATCACCTGTGAAATGTGAGCAGTGTGGATTTTACGGCATCCGTTCGTCCGTGGCAATAGTCCAACAGGGTCCCAGGCTCCACGCATTGTGGCTTGGCACACTCCGGATGGATGTGGCACCAGTGGTCTTCCGACGGTGTGGAGGGGGGCTTGGGGTGGGGGCCGCAGAGAAGGGCGTCTTTGGATCTTGCTTTCCAGGACCGTGGGAGCTCCGTGCTGCTGCTCACCATACTTCTTCAAAATCCTTAACACAATTAGAGGAACAGCATAAAAGAATCATCAGGTCAAATTTCATTTCTCTTTCTCCCTGCTATTTTGCAAAGGACTGATGACAAACTGGGAACCTGAGTCATGATTAGATTACTTTGACCACAAAGGAGTTCATTAAGTTAGAGTATCCAATAAAAACCATCATCTGTCAAGTTTCAAGAAAGTCTGGAAACCACTTAGCGGAAAAAGTGCTGCTCTCCTCCAATCCCATGATTTGCTGGTCCACAGTCATGTGGACTTGGAGGGCACGGGACAGAAGAAGTGGCTTACTCTCAGATTAGAGCGCCTTGCCTGTCCTGTCATATGGCTGGACGCATATACCTAATGCTTGACTGTGTCACTCTTGAAAGGTCTCACCCATAATCCCATTCTATTATTTTTCCATTTAACATGCATTTAGTGAAAAAATTCTCTCAAAATAGGTTTGAACTGTGTCATTTCTCTCAAAATTCATATATAAATGTGCATTTTCCATTTATATATTTAAATATGAAGGAACAAAGCCTAATGAATATATTATGGCAGGGCAGGCAATGTGTAGTCAGGGGCGTTAGGGAAATCTGCAACTGACTCAAAAGAATGCTGATTTCTACAAATCTGACCCGTGGATTCTCCAGCGGACTGAGCTGCATGGATTCTATGGATTTGTGAATCTTGTCTCCTCTCCTCTCCATGCAATTGCACACAAATTAAGTCAGAGAAAAACTATGAAAAAAATAAAAATTGGAATATCACCCTACAGACTAGTGTGTGAAAATGTGCATTTTGGCGGGATTTGCACATTTTTAGAAAAGCTCATTACACTGAAATCCAGTTTGGTCAATGGATGCATGATGGAATCAAACACACCTCCGGGTCTGGAAAAATGCAGCTGAAATGGAACTAACAAAATCCAAACATTCTTATCATAGTCCACCCAATATTTTGACCTACCATTATTGTCTTTTGCCATTGGCTACACTGATGGGACTTGTAAGCTGAGATGTTGAAGGGGGAGCAAAAGAGAATTATTTGACTGCTGATAAAGGATGCTGTGGGGCAAACCCCACCCTGAGGGTGGGGGCTATAAACAACCCTGGAGTGCCCACAGGATCTGGCCTCCTCCATGCCAAATTTTGCCTGGAAGTCTCTTGATTTCCACTGATTGACCGTAGTGGAGCAACGCAATTCAATGGGGACTTTGATTCATGAGAAATCTGTAAGTTGCCCTGGGTTTCTTGCAAGAAGAAGGAAGTGTGCTATGAATGTCACATAATCATCATGGCCCTCTGCAGATTCTGGTAGCTCGCTGGTAGCCAGTGTGTCAGACGGGGAGACCCGGGTCCTGGTCCCTGCTCAGCCATGGAGCCAAATGGGGGACTTGGGCTAGTCCCTCCCCCTCAGCCTAACCTCCCTCACAGGTTGCTGTTGTGATGACAGAATGGAGAGCAGGGGAAGCTTGTTCACTGTCTTGTCTTCCTTGCAAGAGAAATAAAGGTGAGGTACTTTTATTTTAATTCCAGTGGAAGAACTTTGTCTCTCCTTTGAGCAAAGCTTTAACAACCCCCTGATGTTCTTTCCTAAGCCAGGCCTTGGAGAACTTTACCGTGCCTGTCACAAGTACTGACGGCTTCTCCCATGGCGGTGGGTCATCAGTTAGCCTAACCCCCATTTCACGCACTGTCCAATTGCAATCCAGGGAGCTCCAAATATTTTGAAATTCACCCATGGCCATAAAACCTAGAAACTTGGATCCTTCTTCTTTTAATAGGAATAGAAAGAACAGCAATGGCATCACAGAATCTATCTAGGACTTCTTCACTAGTACCACTGCTAGGGTACAGAGGCATCTTTTTATCTGCCTCTTTAAAGGCACCATCCAATGCAAGTTAAAACAGGAAAATGGCCAGCAACTCCCACCATAATTGTTCCTGGGCATGCTGGGAGTTGTAGATCATCCTTTAAATGTGTATAGGACTGCACCTTTAAAGAGGCAGGTGTTTCTGATGATTTGAAAGATAAATTCCTTCTGGAATGCAACCACCTTGGAAAATGTATGCAGAATCATTAGATAAGGCACCATCAGTCTGCTAGGATTGCTTGCATTGCATGCTGATTATCTCTCCCATCTCAGTATGCAAGAGTCCAGGTTCCCACCTCCAGAGTCCCTTTCTTACACTCAAGATATTTTGCAAGTGCAAGGCGGAATCCCCCAGGGGCAAGATGACTGGGCTGACAATTACCGAGTCCCATCCCTATCCGACCTACTTCCTTTGGGCTTATACTTGCCTAAGAAAAAAGGAGAGAAGGGCATTGAGACTTGACTGTGTCAGTCTTAAAAAAACAGACACATTTGTTATCTTTGTGTTAACCATGTGATGCCACTGTTGAAACCAGAACTGTTCATAAGATTACTGGAAAACCATGAAAACAAATAGCTTTAATAAGCCATTTCTGCCTCTTTATTTTATATACACACATGGAGAGGAGAGGAGATTGGAAAGGGTAAATGTTTTTAAAAAGTTTCAAGCTGC